CAGCGTGATTTTACATGACTGTATTTTAATACTTTGTTGGAAGCCGCCCAGAGTGGCTGGGGAAACCCAGCCAGATGGGTGGGGTATAAATAATAAATTATTAGTATATATTATGAGTAGAATGTGTGCTTTTATTTAAAACACATCTCTGGGTTATTTGTGGGGCCTGCCTAGTGTTTTTACATGAGCAGAATGTGTGCTTTGTTTAAAATGCATCTCTGGGTTATTTGTGGGGCATAGGAATTCGTTCGGTTTTTCATCTTCAAAATATAGTCCGGCCCCCCACTAGGTCTGAGGGACAGTGGACTGGCCCCCTGCTGAAAAAGTTTGCTGACCCCTGTTTTAAGTCATGGGTAGGCAACCTAAGGCCCGGGTGCCAGATTCGGCCCAATCGCCTTCTAAATCCGGCCCGCGGACAGTCCGGGAATCAGCGTGTTTTTACATGAGTAGAATGTGTCCTTTTATTTAAAATTCATCTCTGGGTTATTTGTGGGGCCTGCCTGGTGTTTTTGCATGAGTAGTATGTTGTTTTTAAAAAATTTAAAATGCATCTCTGGGTTATTTGTGGGGCATTGGAATTCGTTCATTCCCCCCCCCCCATATAGTCCAGCCCCCCACTGAAGGATGGTGGACCGGCCCCTGGCTGAAAAAGTTTGCTGATCCTTGTTTTAAGTCATTGCATGTGGCGGGGGTGTCCCGTTTGGGTTTTTATGGCCTAGCCACCAAAACGCCTCAGGAATATCCCCAATTGGCATAGAATCGTAGAATTGTAGAGTTGGAAGGGAACAAGGCAGGAATCTCAGCTGAAGCATCCATGATAGATGGGAGAGAAAACTCCCAAGATGCAAGAGTCATTTTGGCAAATAGTTCAATCCTTTACAGGGATACCTTTGGCAACCTAACCAGCCATAGGGAGCAGCCCGTCTGGCAACCATTTTGGGCGGTTCCTTGCCCTCTAAAAAAAAAGAAGGCAAACCTAGCAGACATTTATTCTAATAAAGAGCAGGCTAGACGTTTTCTTAAATGGCTTAAAAAAAGTGAAAACGATTTACTACAACGCTTACGGAAAGAGAACTTCTCTGGGAATTCGCCGCCTTTCTTACAAGGCTGTGCAAACAACCCCGTCTTAGTTAAACTAAGACAGATACTTAGCCGCCCGCAGCAATTAAAAGGCATATTAAACTCTCGTTTCGAAAGGTTTATGCCCATCGGTAAACCCAGCCGTCCAATTTAAAAGATTCTGAGCTGTTAAGACAGAGCAGTGCACAGCCTTGAATCGATGCACTTAATTGCTATATAAAAAGAGCAGATTGAGCAGCAAACTTTGAGCACTGGTTTGGGGGGGGGGTTTCATCGTTTCAGGGCGTTTCCCATTATGCTCATGAAGCCTCTGAGGTTTGGGTGCCATTTTATACACACACACACACACACACACACACACACACACAAACACACACCTGGATTGCAGAAAGTGTGACTTCCAGGTGAGTTTGAGCCCTAGTACCACCAAAGTTCCTTTTTAAAAAAATCAAGCTACTAGTCCATAGGCATTGGAATACAATAGCCAATGATCAAGGGAGGGAAACAATAGTCTGAGGGCGGAATTGTTGTGGGAATTGAGCTCTTCCCTCTCCCCCACCCCCAAAATAAATCAATCTCCTTATCGATTTGTTTCTTCGAAATGCACAGCTTAGGTGAATTTGCAGTTCTTCTCCAGGGTGTAGTAGCCCAGGGAGGGGGACAAACGCCCCCCTTAAATCAAGTAAATAAATAAAAAATGCTTAACAAAAAGTAGAAAATGTAGGAAGTTTTTGACAGCTTTTTCTGAGCACTTGGAGGTCCGAAAAAAGTGATTTTAAGCAACGGTGGTTGAGAGTCGTTTCGTTCCGAATCTGCTAGACAGAGCCAGTCAGAGGATAATAACAGGTGGGGCTGGTCCTGCCCCCCCCCCAAAAAAACCATAAATCCTGGCTACACCCATGGACCTGGATTAACTCATATATTGGAATCTTTTTATACCAAGGCCCTTCTAGTGGCAGTGCCCCCGCACATTTATTTTTTAGAAGTGTGTCCTTAGAGGGAGCCCAATGTAGAAAAGGAAAGGGGTGGGGGACAGAGAAGCAAAAAAACAACAACTAGGAATCAAATTTATTTCCATGCTTTGCCTTGTCTTCCTTATCAGGATCAATATATGAAACAGGAAGGTAGCCCAGTTTCCTTGTGTTTTGGGTGCGGAGAGGCCTGGCTCTAATTCAGTTCTCCTGGGTCAATTAATATGTAATTCCAGATCCTGCACTGAGCCTTTTCCCCTGTCAAAATGCCCTTCGCGTGTTCATGCACAAGTTAACTAAAGCCTCTCTACCAACTCGGCCGACCTCCCTCCATCCTGCTAGAGGTGACCTTTAAAATATATTAACACCCCCTCAGAAAAAACACCCTATCCCTGTGGGGTGCCATGATCCTGCAAGCCGTAGCGTCAAGCAGGCCGAAGACGGGCAGCTTTGCCCTACGCCAGCCTAGGATGTCAGACACTGCCAGCTGTCCTCGTCCAGATTAATGTCACTCACTTGTTAGGCCCCCGGTGGAGTGGATAATTTCTTCCTTTTTTTTGTCATCTCCTGGATTTAGTCCCCCCACCCACCAAACTCTCTCCCTCCTTCCACAGCCCCATCGCTTTCGTGGGCAAGGTTGGGGATGAGAACACGAGGGTTTATAATATGGGCTGTGTTAATACCTTGGTTTTCCCTTCTGCAAAATGGGGAGATTTTTTTGGGAGATTGATTTGGCTCAGTAGATAGAGGTTGCCTCCATGAGACCCGCGGATGGATCCCAGTTCTCCCCCAGAACTCACGCACCGTGATGGCCTTGTAAAGGCCTCGTTTCTGCTCTGCTCAAATCATCGTATTGACACTGTATGGCCCTCTGTCATGGATGCTTTAGCTGAGATTCCTGCATTGCCAGGGGTTGGACTAGATGACACTTAGAGGACCCTGAGATCATCTTCGGGGGGCCTCCTTCGTGCGCAGCCTGCTTGAGAGGTCCAGAGGGTGGCAACACGAGAGCGGGGCCTTCTCTGCAGTGGCTCCCCGTCTGTGCAATGCTCTCCCCAGGGACATTTGCCTGATGCCTTCATTATACACCTTTAGGCACCAGGCAAAAACTTTCCTTTTTAACCAGGACTTTGATTGACCTGATCAACATCCCATACCCTTTTAAAATGTGGCTCTTTTTTGGGGGGGGATATTATTGGGTTATTGCTTTTACTTTAATTTTATATGCTGTGATCTTTTTATGTGAACCACCCGGCATATAAATTCAATAAATTCAAATTCAATTCCCTTCCAACTCTGCAATTCTATCCAAATCTAGCGTGCTGTGGACTTCTAGTCGAAAGCCCATCTCCTCAGAAGATCTGGCCTTGCTGCACATAACCTGGTGGGTGCAAGGGGTTGTTAAAAGATGGGAAATGGAAAAAAACCCCTGAATATGCTGTGCCATAGATGAAATACCAAAACAACAACAAACCTCCGGTTTCATGAAACATTAAATAAACACACAAGACGTAACCGGCTGTACGTTTGACAAAATAATATATACTATTCATTGTACTGAATTGTAGATTTCAACAGAAGTAACTCATAAAGTTCAACGAAAAAAGTAGAAGACCCAGTGGATCAGTTCATTCTCTAATCAGTTTATACATAAGGTATGTGAAAGTGTCTGTTCCACCTGTCTGTTCATAAAGTCCAACAACCCACACAAAAGGTTGTTGCAGTTCCACAGAATCCTTTCACAGAGTCTAAGGCAAGGATTTCCGGAATATTAGCCTTGTTTCGCCGTCTTGGGCTTCATCAGTAGTACAAACTCTAGGTAATGCAAATAACTACAGTATCGTAATCTCACACATTTTCACAGCAAAATTAAAATAAAAAACGTCAACAACCGAACATACTATATATGATATCTCAGGACAGTGGAACTTATAGTATAGTAGTAGCATAGTAGTAGCAACTTTTACAGAGTAGAGTTATGACAAGCACAATATTTATTTAAGTAACAGGTGTTGGCAATCAACAGACACAAAATTTCTACTTTTTTCGTTGAACTTTATGAGTGACTTCTGCTGAAATCTACAATTCAATACAATGAATAGTATAAATTATTTTGTCAGACGTACAGCCGGTTACATCTTGTGTGTTTATTGAATACAGTGGTACCTCGGGTTACATACGCTTCAGGTTACATACGCTTCAGGTTACACACTCTGCTAACCCAGAAATAGTGCTTCAGAACTTTGCTTCAGGATAAGAACAGAAATCGTGCTCCGACGGCGTGGCAGCAGCAGGAGGCCCCATTAGCTAAAATGGTGCTTCGGGTTAAGAACAGTTTCAGGTTAAGTACAGACCTCCGGAACGAATTAAGTACTTAACCCGAGGTACCACTGTATAGATGAAATACCAGCAATGTCCCCTTCCTGTCTCCTCTTGAATCTTCGAGCCACGACACGAACTGAGCAAGCTGCAACCCTCCCTCTCCTTTTCTCTCTTCACTCTCTCTCTCCCTCTTTCTTTCTGCAGAACCGTGCAGGTACGTAACCCTGCTGCCCTCTGCACCTCCGGATCCCGCACGTGTACCAACAGATCCGGGAGATGCCGGCAGAAAGAGCTATCGTAAAAGCACGGGGGATATTCTGGCGGAGACAAAGGGTCTGGCTGCTTGGGCGAGGCTGGGAGAGGTACCCCCCTCTGAAGCAGGCGCAACGGGGTGCAGGCCGCAAGCATGGTAGGTCGCTTCCTTTGCTAGTAGCGGGAAAGGGGGTGGGTGGGTTTTGAGAACCGGGGTGTCCTCGAACATTCTCTCGTAACTCTTGGAGACGCGAACGAGGCTGCTTGTTTCGAATCCGAGGGAATTTACGCAGGAAGCTGACTTTTAATTTTGGCGAAGCTTGGTGTTGTCAACACGGGCTGGCAGCAGCTCTTTGGAATTTCGGGCCCGTTTAGGGATGCCATTGGGGATCGAACCCAGGACCTTCTGCGTGCAAAGCAGGTGTTCTACCACCAAGCTACGGCCCTTCCTCTAAAATGGAGTTTCCTGGAGGAGTCTAGTTGTTGTTGTTTAGTCGTTTAGTCGTGTCCGTCTCTTCGTGACCCCCTGGACCAGAGCATGCCAGGCACTCCTGTCTTTCACTGCCTCCCGCAGTTTGGTCAAACTCATGCTGGGAGCTTCAAGAACACTGTCCAACCATCTCGTCCTCTGTCGTCCCCTTCTCCTTGTGCTCTCCATCTTTCCCAACATCAGGGTCTCTTCCGGGGAGTCTTCTCTTCTCATGAGGTGGCCAAAGTATTGGAGCCTCAGCTTCAGGATCTGTCCTTCCAGTGAGCACTCAGGGCTGATTTCCTTCAGAATGGAGAGGTTTGATATTCCAGCAGTCCATGGGACTCTCAAGAGTCTCCTCCAGCACCAACAGCATACAAATCAATATGGCTAACCTGATCCAAAAACACGCACCCACCACACTCACACTTGAAAACAAAGACCACCACAGCCAACCACAAATGAACAACCACACCCTAGGCCAACCCCAACCTCTCTCACCACCAAAGGAACACAAGCGAACAGCAGAGAACCTGCACAAGCAACGCTGACACCAAACCCCACATATAGTAAGTAAAATAGGAACATGGCCACCCAACCCCACCCCCACTCACCTCTCCCACCTCCCCCCTCTCCCCCTTTTCTTCCTAATGTCTCAAAAAATGAAACTGATTTGTAAAAATGTTACATGGGGGGGGGGTAATACGAGAGAGACATTGCACACACTTTTGTAAATCAAGAAAATCTTTAATAATAATACAAAAGTAGGCCTAGAATGTGTATTTGACTAATCAGGTAATCAGTTTAAACCTTTCACCTTCTGAAAGGGTTTCCCAGATTAAAAAATAAAGCGTATACCATATTTTTCAATGTGTATGCAATCTTTCAGAATCCTACAGATTGCAAGCATCACCTTACTGGCATAACACACTTGTTCCTGGCACCAGGACAATGGATTTACTCATATGCAGATGTATGCAAATGCCTTCCATTGCTAGGCTAAATGTCCATGTTATCAGCCAAATAAGAGATTCCTTTCATTGGGTGACGGTCCTAACAATAAGTGAAGCATTTTATTTTATTTTATTTTATTTTATTTTATTTTAATCTCTCTCTCTCTCTCTGGGGCATAGGATAAGTGTGATCCTGACAAAAAGTTTTGAGGCCGGGGAGTTCCCACTTTAGCCTTGGAAGTGAGCCATATTTAATCACTAGGTAGATGACGAGGTGATGATCTGGCAGCAGGAAGGCAAAGGCTGGGCAGGGGTTCCCTTCTAAATTGTTGATTTCATTGTGAAGCTCTCTCTCAGCAGACAAAGGAGCCCCGTTTGCTTATCAGTAGCCTCCAGCCATGCACAATTGCCTTCCTGAGTGGTCCACTAATTAGATGGGGCAAGGAACAATGCCAGCACACCTTTAGAGAGGCTTTCGGGAGGAGAGGACAGATTGGGGAAAAGGATGACTGTGGCAACCTTGCTTTGCGCAAGAAGGCCGCCTTAGCTGCAACCTCGAGGGCTTGGCAGGCCCGCTTCGTCTAGAGGAAAAAGGGGAGGGAGGAAAGGAATAAAAAAGGGCAATAAAATTAATAATGGCTTTTGGTGTCTCGCAGGGTAATGTGGCAGCCCAGCCCAGCAGTAAAAAAAGGCAGATGGCATTACTTTCCCAAGTAGAGAGGAGGGAAGGGAGCACTTTAAGATTCTCGCGGTTCCCCTGAACATCCCAGGTGAGATCCAGGTAACAACAGGGCCTCTGCTATGCCCTCCAGGCGGCAGGGAACTGAAGGCTGTCTTGTGCCCATTGTGCGGATGGAGACGACAGGGCACCACAGCTTGCGGCAGCCGCACAATAGCGTTGCAAATTTGCAAACGGACCAGGGGGAACCAGAGGAAAGCACCAGTCTTGACCGTGGCTGCTTTTGTGCCTCTTGAGCTTGGGATCTCATAAGTTGGAAGGGACCCCCCCATCTAGTCCAACCCCCAGCAATGCAGGAATAATGTGCAAATGTGAGCGAGTGAAGTTTTTCAAGGCAAGGTGGACTTGGCAGGGTGGAAGCATAAGAACAGCTTTTTAATATCTATACTTCCAGGTACTATGAATGCTCCCAGCCCCTGGGAGCTGGGTGGGGGGACTACCTGCATCCATGCAATTTATTTCCCCCCCCCCTTTATTAATTTTCACCCTCTCTTAGGAATTTGTTTTCTCCGTCAGCTTTCGTGAGAAAGTTGCCTGCTCCTGCCTCTTTCACATCTTCAGCCAATGAACAAAGTTGTAACTGTGATTGGCATTTGGGAAAGCAGATCTTTCCAATTAAACAGAAAGCGACACACCCATTGCCTAGGCTTTAGACAAGGAGTTTTCTGGTCCCCACTTCAATTTAAAGCCTTTTATTTTAATCTGATTGGGATCTTTTGCCCAACGTGGGACTTGAACCCACCACCCTGAGATTAAACAGTCTCATGCTATACCGGCTGAGTTATCCCAGGCAATTGGGAAATTTCTAAACTGCTGGAGAAATTTGCTGTCCTATCGAAGAAGAACAAAACAGGTATCCAGGATTTTCGGAGAGCTGTGATGGGGCAGTAATATCTCACCTCAAAAGTAAGAGGTATAGGAAATTAGGTCTTATTTCATGCAGCAAAATGTGATTCCCTCGCTCTGAGTTTGTAAACATTTTCATTTAAAAAGTTTATTGTAGTGCTGATAACGTAACATTCATTGTTTTCATTTTGCCCCTATTTGAGGGGACCCATAGCCGAGAGAGCGAGAGTTACGTCAATCTTGCAAAATAACCTAGTATTACCTTTTGTTCGAAGGTGCTGCAACAGTTTATGACAACGAAATCCTGAATATCTGATTCCCTTCCCATACAGTGAGGGGGGGGGAAGTATTTGATCCCCTGCTTAATTTGCCCGTTTGCCCTGTGATGAAGAAATGACCACTCCGTAATTTTAATGGTAGGTTTATTGTAGCTGTGAGAGACAGAATAACAACAGAGGAAAACCCCAGAAACCCAGAAGAAAAGTCAGAGATTGATGTGCATTATAATGAGTGAAATAAGTATTTGATCCCCCTATCAACCAGCCAGGTGTCAGGCTACCTGGTATCTTCACTGTATTTAACGAGCTGAGATTAGAAGCACCTGCTGTAAGGGAGAGGTCTTACCTGTAATCCCAGCTCGTTACAGTACCTGTACAAAAGACACCTGTCGACAGAAGCAATCAATCCAGCAGATTCCAAAGTAGCCACCATGACCAAAGAGCTGTCCGAGGATGTCAGGGACAAGACTGTAGACCTGCACAAGGCTGGACTGGGCTACAAGACTATTGCCAAGCATCTTGGTGAGAAGGTGACAACAGTTGGTGCAATAATTCGCAAATGGAAGAAACGCAAAATAACTGTCAACCTCCCTCGGTCTGGGGCTCCATGCAAGATCTCATCTCGTGGGTTTCAATGATCATGAGAACGATGATGAAGCAGCCCAGAACTACACGGAGGGAACTTGTCAATGATCTCAGGGCAGCTGGGACCGTAAAGGTAAAGGGACCCCTGACCGTTAGGTCCAGTCGCAGGCGACTCTGGGGTTGGGGCGCTCATCTCGTTTTAGTGGCCGAGGGAGCTGGCGTACAGCTTCCGGGTCATGTGGCCAGCATGACTAAGCCGCTTCTGGCGAACCAGAGCAGCGCACGGAAACACTGTTTACCTTCCCGTCGGGGTGGTTTCTATCTACTTGCACTTTTTGGCGTGCTTTCGAACTGCTAGGTTGGCAGGAGCTGGGACTGAACAACGGGAGCTCACTCTGTCGTGGGGATTCGAACCGCTGACCTTCTGATTGGCAAGCCCTAGGCTCTGTGGTTTAGACCACAGCGCCACCCACTTCCCCAGCTGGGACCATAGTCACCATGAAAACAGTTGGTAACACACTACGCCATGAAGGACTGAGATCTTGCAGAGCCCGCAAGGTCCCCTCGCTCAAGACAGCACGTGTACAGGCCCGTCTGCAGTTTGCCAATGCACATCTGAATGACCCAGAGGAGAACTGGGTGAAAGTGTTGTGGTCAGATGAGACCAAAATCGAGCTCTTTGGCATCAACTCAACTCGCCGTGTTTGGAGGAGGAGGAATGCTGCCTACGACCCCAAGAACACCATCCCCACCATCAAACATGGAGGGGGACATATTATGCTTTGGGGGTGTTTATCTGCTAAGGGGACAGGACACCTTCACTGCATCCCCTTAGCAGATGGACGGGACCATGTATCATCAAATCTTGGGTGAGCACCTCCTTCCCTCAAGCAGGACATTGAAAATGGGTCAAGGATGGGTATTCCAGCATGACAATGACCCAAAACACATGGCCAAGGCAACAAAGGAGTGGCTCAAGAAGAAGCGCATTAAGATCCTGGAGTGGTCTAGCCAGCCTCCAGACCTTAATCCCATCGAAAATCTGTGGAGGGAGCTGAAGGTTTGAGTAGCTACACATCAGCCTCGAAATCTTACTGACTTGGAGAGGATCTGCAAAGAGGAGTGGGACAAAATACCTCCTGAGATGTGTGCAAACCTGGTGGCCACTTACAAGAAACATCTGACCTCTGTAATTGCCAACAAGGGTTATGCCACCAGGTACTAAGTCATCTTTTGCAAAGGGATCAAATACTTATGTCACTCATTATAATGCACATCAATCTCTGACTTCTGTCTTCTGGGTTTCTGGGGGTTTTCCTGTTGTTCTTCTGTCTCTCACAGCTACAATAAACTTACCATTAAAATTATGGACTGGTCATTTCTTTGTCAGAAATGGGCAAATTTAGCAGGGTATCAAATACTTTCCCCCCTCACTGTATGACAATTATTGTTATGACTTCATTCAAGGGCTAAAGACATTGAAAGGTGAGAGGAGACTAGTTAAAAGAGAGAGAGAGAGAGAGAATAATGCCTACCCCTTTTGTATCTTGGGTTCTCTTAAGGGCTGGATCTTTTCTTTTAAAAAAACCAAAAACTGGGAATCTGGGGATTATGGCTTATCCAGGGGGTGCAACTGCCCTCCTTCTCCCCACTCCTCCCCACGGACGCCCCTGACTGCGTGCATAGGCAAAAGGCATGTTCATATATCTCAGTTTTATTAAACTGAGATATATGATCACCTATGCCAGGCCAATGCCAATCAAGTCTAAATTAGCATTTGCTCTGGGTTCCTTTTTTTATATCTCTGAACGGCTGCAGACAAGTTTGCGTTCTCGATTTCGTTTTCATTTGCTTTCACGTGTCTTTTCATTCATTCACTTATCGAATTCATATCCCGGACCCTCAGGAGCCAGGCTGACAAATTGCACAAACAGCAGGACAATTAAAATGTCTGAAAACAATTCCAGTTCAAATGCATACTGCCATGACGTTGGTTTTAAGGCTCTGTTTTTGATTTAGCGTTTTAACAACTTGTTTATGGGACTATGCGCCGTTTGGAGATTATTATTTTTTAAACTATCAAGCAGTTTATAAATGCTTTTAAATACAGTGGTACCTTGGGTTACATACGCTTCAGGTTACAGACTCCGCTAACCCAGAAATAGTGCTTCAGGTTAAGAACTTTGCTTCAGGATGAGAACAGAAATCGCATGGTGGCGGTGCGGCAGCAGCAGCAGGCCCCATTAGCTAAAGTGGTGCTTCAGGTTAAGAACAGTTTCAGGTTAAGTACGGACCTCCGGAACGAATTAAGTACTTAACCCGAGGTACCACTGTACATAAAATAAAATCAGCCACAGGGAGACTGGGTAACTCAAGAAGGAAGGAAGGAAGGAAGTTCTTGAAACCTGCAGATAGAAGTAGCACCATCACCTTGCTGGTCTTTCCTTGCTGGCTGCTCCCAGTCTGGAGCAAAAGCCACAGGGGTTTAGTTTGACAGGGAGGACCCCCCCCCCAAACAAGGGAGGTGAACTTTGACAGGAACCTGCGTCCCCAGTAATCTGCGAAAAGCTCCTGCGCTCCATGGGCCGTGTGACCCGTCATGAGGGAAGTGGTAGGGGCCAGACAGAGAACAAAGGAAGGGATTTTGAGTCCTTGGCAAGATGGGGAGGGGGGGGGTTCCCAAATCGCCAGGTTACATAAAGAAATTGCAGCCGGAGAAGTAAGTCGAGGGGGTGTGCTTCTTTGATCGGCTGGTGGTTAGAAATGGCGCTAGTTAGGAAAACAAAATCACAAGGGCTGGAGGCACGGCACGAAATATCACCCAGGCTTGTGGCTCTGAATGGGTGAAGCTGGCATGAGAACAGGTGCAAAGGGGGGAGGAAGAGAGAAGGCGGAAAGAGAGGCAGTGGCTGAGGCTAACTTTAAAGCACTGCAATAGCACTTTAAACAGCCATGGCTTCCCCCAAGGGATTCTGGGAGCTGCCGTTTGTTAAGGGTCCTGAGAGTTGTTTAAAGACCCCTATTCCCCTCACAGGGACGCGGGTGGCGCTGTGGGTTAAACCACAGAGCCTAGGACTTGCCGATCAGAAGGTCGGCGGTTCGAATCCCCGCAACGGGGTGAGCTCCTATTGCTCGGCCCCTGCTTCTGGCGAACCTAGCAGTTCAAAAGCAAGAAGTGCAAGTAGATAAATAGGTACTGCTCCAGTGGGAAGGTAAACAGTGTTTCCGTGTGCTGCTCTGGTTCGCCAGAAGCGGCTTGGTCATGCTGGCCACATGACCCGGAAGCTGTACGCCGGCTCCCTCGGCCAGTAAAGCAACATAAGCGCCACAACCCCAGAGTCGGTCACGACTGGACCTAATGGTCAGGGGTCCCTTTACCTTTTTATTCCCCTCACAGAGCTGCAATTCCCCAGAGTTCTCTAGGAAGACGGACTGATTGTTGAACCACCCTGGGAATATAAGAACCTAATAGCATAATATAGCTGAAGAAGGGCCGATCGTGCCTCAGAATAATATATTTGTAGAGTTGGAAGGGACCCAAGGGTCATCTAGTCCAATCCCCTGCAATGCAGGGATCTCAGCTAAAGCATCCGTGACAGAGGGCGCTCCAATCTCTGCCTAAAAAGCCCCAAGGTGGGAGTGTCCACAACCTCCCAAAGGCGGCCATTACACTGTCAAGGAGCCCTTACTGTCAGAAAGTTCTTCCTGATGTTTAGTCAAAATCTCCTTTCTTGTAACTTGAAGGCCATGGGTTTGAGTCCTCCCCTCCAGAGCAGGAAAAAACAAGCTTGCTCCATCTTCCATGTGACAGCCTTTGAGGTATTTGAAGATGGCTGTCATGTCTCCTCTCAGTCTCCTCTTTCCCAGGCTAAACATACCCAACTCTCTCAGCCGTTCCTCATAAATCTTGGTTTCTAGGCCCTTTAGTGGCAGCAATAATATTTAAGTACCCCACCTTGAACGTATGACTAGAGGTGACCTTCAGAGGGCATAAGAACATGAGAAAAAGCCTTCTGGGTCAGATCAGAATTTCATCTGGTTCAGCATTGAGATCCAGCTCTTTCCTGTCTGACCAGAAGTTTT